GTTCTCACATTTTAGTGTGCATGGAACAATCTAGAGGGCTTGTTAAAATAGATTGTACCCCAAGTTTCTGGTGAGGATCAAGAATTTGCACTTCTGACACGTTCCCAGATGACTCTGAAGCTCCTGTTTGGGGACCATGCTTTTAGAACACTGCCCTTGTTGCTGGTCATTTTAAAAGGTCACATTGAATAAGAATCTATATATTTTATGGTTTCATGATTTACCCGTATGTCCGAGCTTACCTGATACACTTTATCTTTTTGAACTCCAAGGTACAAGGGTGGTAAATTCCAAGTTAAATTTTCATTAAGAAGTGAAGACCTATCTAGCTAGCACAGGGTTGAGAATACAGAGGCGCTTTTGTCTCTTAAATAGCTATTAGTCTCTTGCTTAAGAAGACAGGAATTAGCACCTACTTGTCTGCCATAAAGTATGTCTGAATAGCATTTTTCCAATCCAGTAGCACTTTTAAAATAGTATGCACTATTCCAAAGGATATATGTGGGTGAAACATAAGAATAGCAGTTTTGTCTTAGATTAAAAAAACAAACAAACAAACAAAAAAAACTTGTTGCCGTCCAATTGATTCCAACTCATCGCGACTCTGTAGGACAGAGTAGAACTGCCCCATAAGGTTTCCAAGGCTGTAAATCTTTACGGAAGCAGACTGCCACATCATTCTCCCGTGGAGTGGCTGGTGGGTTCCAACCTCTAGCCTTCTGATTAGCAGCTGAGCTCATGGCGACCCTGTGTGTTAAAGAGTAGAACTGTGCTCCATAGGGTTTTCTTGGCTGTAATCTTTACAGAAGCAGATCGCCAGGGATTTCTTTCGCGGTGCTGCTGGGTGGGTTAGAACTGCCAATCTTTAAATTAGCATTGGAGTGAAATTTATTTGTGCCACCCAGGGACATTTTGAATTCAACCCAGGGGCTAGTTAAAACACCTGAATCTGCAGAGTGTCAAGTGAGATACTTAAATTTCCTAAATCCTGGAGTTGTCCATGGTCTACTAGACCAAATAGTCTCTAAATTGACTGTTAAGCTGCTTTGGGCTCTTGCTGACAAGCTCTGACTGGTTTGAACTATTACCTACATTGAGGCTGTGAGAAGGTTAATGATAAACGGCAGGGCATCAGCTTATTTTAATGCTCACATCTTACCGAAGAGATTCTTTCATAAAGAAGTAAAGTGGAAAATATGTTCTCCTTCTGTTTATTTGTCCCAATGGTTTAAAAAAAATCAGCTTAATGGAACCATAATCCTCCTCGTGACAGATGGGCCTATACATTAGCCTCGTGCTTTCAATTAACAGTTTACATTTCAACAGTAAGGTGAAGAAACTGAATGTAGAGACATATTCAGCGTCTATTTGCCATTTTTCAGTTTTATAACATTGATACAAAAAAATAGTATTCTGGTGAGCAGCTTAATTGGCAACCCATGTAACCCTAAATAGTACTACAAATCTGGAGAGTGCAGTTGTACAGACAATTACTTTTGGTGAAACAGTATGTACAATTTTGACAAATAAATACATAAATACAATCATCCATACATAATGATATACCTAAATGTCAATTATCATCAAGTGCTTCTAGTAAATTACTTCTTTCATTCACAAGTTACTCTTTTGCTTATAAAAACTGTCTTCACCTTTACAGAAGAAATGACATTATCAATTCCCCCACTAAACCCACATATTAGGAAAGGTAGAAAATGAATCCCAGACATTGTATGTAAATATTCTACTGTCTTTTGATAGAAGAAATTTGATTGAAAAACTCCTTCCTTGGATTCTCTGAAAAGTTTATTTTTCCCCATCATAGCGCACAAAGGGGTTTTGTTCTTCCGAATTTAATTGAAATCAAAAGTGATTTTCCAATTCTGGTTATTTAAAAATACAATGCTATATATTGAAACTGGCATTTGCTCCAACATAAGAAGACACAAAGCTGTGCACACCAGGCTACTGAAGATAACACCTTAAAAAATATATCAATAAAGAAAGAAACTTGAAGAATATAGACACTGATTATTGATACCTATTGTTATCCAGTGCATAATGAACAAAGGGGGACAGTCAGAAAGTTGTTGTCAAAATTGTCTGAATGACTCCTGGTAGAATACTGTCTAAAACATTATTTTATGGCATGGAAATGATAAGAAATCCACAAAATGGCTTAACAAATAATTGAAACCATAATTTGGCCAGTATCATAAAGTTAACAAAAGTAGAAAACAGAGCTATTTCTTGATCATTTGACTTAACCATTTCCTGGAACATTCAAAAAACGAAGGGCAAACATGCTTAAGGCTATTGAAACACTGGACAAATGGCCTTGCCTCACCAAGCTCCATGCAGAAGAAAATGATACATAGCAAGCAGATTCTAACTATGCATACAGCTGGGAAGAAGAAGAAAAAAAAGCCCTTAAAATATATACACGTGGTCTCTGATGAATATTTACATATTTGTCGCATGGGCACTACAGTCTTAAAAAAGTCAGGAAATAGTCCCTTAAGACATATGCTTCTCTGATTTTTGCTCCTTTTTAAGACTAGGGCTCTCTTCATAATGTATATGCACATATATATGTAAAACAATTCATAGATGTACATATATGATGTTTACACTGTGCAATTCCTTGATACTAAGGTGGCCCAACTGAGCATGATGTGGATGCAAGACAAGGGTATGAGACAGAGACTTGATTCTACCGCAGGACTGAAAGGTGAACCATATACAACGTCATGGGACTTTCCCAATGATTGGAACTCAACAGCAGTTGAGGCTACAGGGCTGGAGGGTGGCTTACCTTATGTAGGTCCATCTCTCCCAGGCTACCTAATGCTGTTCTGGAATCTAAACCAGCAACCCCACTGATCCTAAGATAAAGATGTATTGAGGGAAGAGAAGTTCTGTTTCATATTGGGTTCTTTTGGTTGAGGATGAGAGATGGAATGTTTTCAAGAAATAGACCATGAGTACCATTTGTTGGTTTTGTCTATATATTTTCTATTAATTTTTCCAGGAGTTTCCAGGGGTCAAGTTAACAAAAATTAAGGTGTACTCTCCTTCAGTTGTGGGGTTTTCTTCGAATGAAAACAAATAGGAGTTTTCTAATGGATAGTAGAAGATCTGCTGTTTGCTGAGTGTCTATTCTTCTTCTGCTAGAGGTGGACTAGCCCTACTTGTTCTCAAAGCTGTTAGAGGGGATTCAGGTCAAATGTTTCCTGATATCTAGGTTGGTGAGATGCATCTTGCAAAGCAAGTGTTTCAGTTACTAGAATATACCCTCAGCCAGAGGCTCCCCCACAAAGAAAGGCAGCTGCCTTCACGTTCAGCACCCTGGGATACCAAAGCAATACACTCAAGTAATAACTTATTCATTGAAATCAGAAGAAATGATAGAGAGATTGAAGCTTCCCCACAAACCTAACTTACACCCAAGGAAAATTCAAAGCTTTATAAGGATCAGGGCCACTGATGGTTCCCAGCTGATCTTTATTTTGGCAGATTTTATATTAAGATCATGTTACTACTACTGATAGCCATTATTGTTATTATGTAATTATTTTAGCATTTAGTGTAATGCATGACACATTGTATTAGGTAGCACCTTTTAAACTAATGATCTCAAAATACTTAGCAAATGCAATTTGCTCTCACAGCCCCTGGGAGGTAGGTGGTTTTGTTTGTTTGTTTACAGTCATTTTATAAATGAGCATATTGAAGAACAGCAAGGTTAAGATGCCTGCTCACTTGACCCAATAAGTATGATGGCAAGAATAGGACCCGACCCCAAGCTTCCCCACCTTCTTGCCTGTGAACCTCAATCACAGTGCCACAAGAACACCTCATAACAGCATTGCTGCTAAAGGTACTTGGATGTTTCAGATGTTAAAGAGTATTACTGCAGGAGCCGATTAAAAGTAAGCAAGGCACACACAGGCTAAATTGTGTTCACTTACTAATCTGTAGTGCACAATTTCACATGGGTTTCCACCACATCCTTGATGTGGCACAAGTAAGCCTGTGGGTACCTTGCTTATTGGGTAATCCATCCCCGTTATTACATCTATCAATTGCAGGGCCAAACCTTTCAGTAAAATTGGTACCCAATAACGATGTTCTCCCTCGCTTTGCAAATGTATGTGAGGGGCATCTTATACTATTGCTAAGCTTATGTTAATTATAATGCATACATGAATTTGTATTTCTTAGTGTGAGTTATTCTTCTGGCCTCCTATCAACTTGTTTTCTGCACATGGAGACATGTGTCTACATGATCCAGAAACTGTGAAATGCATTTAGCACACTGTATGGAGGGAAACTGGTGAGATTACACTTGGCAAGTCTCCCTGGAGGCACCATGTAACGTTTTTTTCTGAAAGAGCCAAAAAAAACCCTCTTGTTTACTTTGTTAAGTAGCATTTTACATACATTTCACCTGCTGACCAGGTTTATTCCTTGGCAGAGCAAGCAGAGTTATCTCCCAAACATAAAGAATATTTGATTCTCAGGTTTAAATTTCCATCTATTTAACTGCAGCCTCCCCACCAGTACTAAGTTCATTTCTTGGTGGAGGTGCTAATACTGCATGTATTACATGGAAGTATATGTAAAAATGCAATGTGACAATAACACACACAATATTAATAATCACATCCAGTGTGTCTTCCTGACTATGCGTCGTTTCTGAATATTTTAAAGTTATTTACTTTTTTGTTTTTGCAGAAATGACATGAAGACAATACTGTGAGTTTCAGTTTCTCAAACCCAGATTTTTATCTTAGATGCACACAGTACCTGATTATGTAAATCCTAAGAGTTGTTTGGAACTTGCTTTTTGAGATAAATGGCAATGCTGTAGGACCTGAGAATGATTCCTGGCCCTTCTAGCTCACGTGTTGTTTCTATGACCAGAGCCTAACATTTGTAAATTGCTACTCAAAGAAAGGTACTAAGAACGGGAAGAAAAAACTTTTTACAAAACCCCTTCTCTGGTTCATGTCCCCTGGTGACACCTGTAAAACACCAATATCTTAGGCCCCATTTCTTAAAAAAGAAAAGAAACGTATTTACATTGGTAAAAATCCTAACATCTGAGATGTTTCTTGCTTGACATGTCATTCCAGATTCTGTGCATTTCTTCTGGAGAGATCTGATGCACGGTGATAACTCGGCGATATCTACACAAACTATAGGCCATTTTCCAGTGATTGAAGCCACTGTTCTGGAAAGGATGTATGCCCAGCTTTCGAAGACACAATCCCACATATACATCTTCAAGGTGAAGCAGCCGTGTGTGGAGTGAGGTCTTGTAAATAAGTTCAGCCACATCAGCTGAAAAGATGTAGCCAGTCCCCGAACAGAATGGTGGGTAGTTACTGTCAGGGTACAAATCCCTGGGCATATACCACTTACTACGGACGTCCCGGATTGGCCCTCCATTGATGACATAGCCAGTAAAATATCTTCTCCTTGGCTTGGTGGTGGGCTTCAGGAGTTTATAAATAAGGTTGTCCATGTTTACAAAAATGTCACTGTCTGTTTTCATGATGTACTTGGCTTTTGAACAAAAAGTGGCCACCCATCTCATCCCCATTAATGTTTTGAGGGTAAGGTTATGATAGGAGTCAATGAAGTCCTCCACGATAATGTCATGAAAGATTTGACTCTCTTGTTCTACCATCTGATTCAGAACAGGATCAGCATCCTTGCCCAGGAGGAAGAGAGTGGCTATCTTGATCCCTTTAAAGTTGTTCTCATCTCCCCACGTCTCTCGGATTGCCTGCCTGGCATCGAACTCCTTGTGGGTAGTGCTGATGAGGATAACAAGGAAAGGAATGTTTTTCTCACATTTGTTGGGCTCATTTATAAGAAATTCAAAAGAATGTGGGTTTATAGGTCGAGTTCTTATGTTGCCGAAGGTGAAGTTTTTTCTGGCAACTGTTAGGTGGCTGAATGGCTTGGAGCCAGTGTAGGAAGAAGTAGGACGAGTTACACTCAAGTACCAAAGAGCGCTGGCCCAGCACACAACTGTCAAAACATATAAACAGGAGACCTTTGAAGCCATTGTCTTGAGAGCACGTCTATTCCAAATAATGAATAATATGCCTTCTTGGCACTAGCTTCTTTTCACCTTGCAAAGGCAGCATATTACTAAGAAATCTTAAAGTTCGAAAGAGAAGCGTGAGTGTGGGATTGTTCATGGGTCTCAGTGGCAGTCTTGCATTTCAGTCTATGTTCTTGAATCTTAAATTCAATCTATGTTCTTCCAAACCTGGTGGAAGCTTCCATGCTTCATAAACCATCCTCTTAACTCTGCAAAATGAAGAAAGCACAGTTGTTCAGATTTAGTCATTTTACATCTTCAATAAACATAATAAAAGTATAAGAATTACCCATGATGATGGAAATAAAGGATAATCATTAATTTCCATCACTACTGAGGCCTTTCTGACATCCATCCCCACTTCTCTCTCCTTGATAGAAGTTGTTTATGTATATTCATATCCAAACTAACAAATACATAGATTATACACTCTAGATGAGTATGAAGTAAACTGAACATTAGTAATTTTAAAAAGTATATAATGTCATCCTCTTCCCAGTGGGCTTCTTTGTAGTTAAATAGTTTCTAACACTAAAATCTTCTGTCAGTCAGGGAAGTCCACACATGGCCTCAAAGATTTTTTTTCCATTTTTCCAAGACTGAGTTTTTGTTTCCTTGACACTGATTGAGGGAATCAATTCTGAACATCTGTTTGCTTTCTCTAACCCTGTATTTGAAAATGTGTCAATCATGGCCGGAAAATCTGTGCTAATACTTGTGTTCCTTGTGGTTCTGACTCAGATGTAACTCTCAACTTTTACTCATTTTCCCCTCGTTTTGGCTCTCATGACACTTAGTTTCTAATTCTCAGTTTTCTACAAGGTCTCATATGGAGAATATTCTCATCCTTCCACTCCTGCCCAGAAACCATCACCCAAGTGTCCTTTCTGACAGCCGGCATCATTCATTTTGAAGTTGATCTGAATGGTACTGCTTTTCACAGTTTTCAACAATTCACCCACATATTCCATTGGCAAAATAACCCTGGCCCCTTTTAAATCTTTTTACTTAGTTACACTTGCCTATAAGTATATCAAGAGTATAATGAGGGAAACTATTGGGCTTCGGGGCCACAAATTCAATGAAGATGTGACAGAGCACTTTAATTGGTGTTCAAATTAAAAAGTTGTCCTCAGGAGCTCTAAGCCTTTCTAGAACTTCAGCTGCTATCATTCCAGTTAAAAATATATGCCAGGATACAAAGTCCAATCATGCAAAAAACTGTCTCTTCCTTCCTAGTTAGAACAGAATGTGGTAGTCCTGGAAGACAGAGATAGCACATAATGGATGTATGTCAACAAAGTCGGCTTCAAAGAAATCTATGCTCTTAAATGTATGGACGGTTAGAAAGAATATAACTGGGGTTATAGATTGAAAATCCTGCTTCTAAGCACAATAGTCATAATGAAATGAAAAGACCTGATGGGCAACAGCAGAGACAATACACATCCTCTTGTCTAATCCAAAAGTTGACCATGAATATATGATCCATATGAGACCAGCAATAAGTCAGTGTGGTTACGGTTCTAACTAAATGAATATTAGAACGGCTTCAAGTAGCATAACTCTAGGCATAGTCAGGCTTTCATCCAACCCATAATAAGTATTCTCTAAATACAGGCTTCAGTATCCTTGACCTCCTGGAAGAAATTTCCGCTCTAAAGCTGCACTGATGCTGATAAAGAGAGGATGTGATATACGGCAAGCTTTGAAACTTCAAACAGCAAGCAAGAGGAAGTGAGAGAAACTAGTAGTGGAGAGTTTAGAAAAGGGCTTCTCGGCTTGGGATACACAGATATTGATGCCATCTCAATTCCAAAGGGATGTTAGTGAGGCCCAAGATGGTACTAGAAACCAAACTTTCTCCGCCATTGTTGTAGCCTACGTGACTGGTTCTTATAAAAAACAAACCAGTAAGGGTTGAATCAATTCCAACTTGTGGTGACTCCATGTGTTTCAGAGTAAAATTGCACTCCACAGGGTGTTAAGTGGCTGTGACCTTTTGGAAGCAAATCGCCAGGCCTTTCTTCTAAGATGCCTCTGGGTGGATTTGAACCAGCAACCTTTCAGTTAGTAGTAGCCAAGTGCTTAACTGTTTGAGCCAACTCCCTGATTCTTATCAGCCTTCTTTATCATTGTATTTCCCTTGTCCTCTTGCACACTTTCCTGCCAAATTTTGAGTGACCTATCACTAGGATGTCAGGGGACTCCTAAAGAGCCTCATCTGGAAGAGGCTCCTGCCCATTTTGACTGTGTCCTTCTGGAGCCACAAGTCAGGTTATTAGTGGAGGATTTATCCACTTAATGTTTGGTTCTCCTTTTTATTGTTTCAATCCTGTTCCTGCTGAGTTACTTTCACAAGCTATTATCCTCTACTTCAATAACCAAGCCTTCATTTAACCCTTGAATTTATTCATTTGTTAATTCACTTATTAATCGATCAATTAATCAAACATTTATTGAATGTCAAGTGTGTGCCAGATATAGAAAAAACAGAAATAGAGTCCATACACCTGTCTTAAGGAAGTTATAATCTAGGAGGAAAGACTTCAAGTAAATGATGAAAACAGTGAGATAAAAGTGTTCATCACAAGGCTATTGGCATAGCAGAGGTGGGGTGGGGAACAGAGTGTGGGAGAACTGGGTACAGCTGTGCATGTTGTGTACAGAACAACTCCAGAGGGCATCATGTACATAAACTGCAATGTGAATTCTGCTTCTCTACCCCATGCTAGAGTCAAATGATGCAGTAGCCCTGGGGAGGATACCATGGACAATATAGAAAAGGTGATCTAAGCTGAATCTTAAAGGACAGCTAGAAATTATCTGGATGGGGGTGGGCATTCTAGGCAGAGGAACAGAATATGCAAAGGCATGGAACGAGAGAGAGCAAGATGTGCACCAGGACTGCAAATAGTTGAGTAAAGGGAGAGGGCAGGGTGATGGAGAGGAGGATAGGGATGATAAGAGGAGTTGCTGTAGAGACAGGGAGGGTCAGATGGTGAGTCACGCTCAGAAGCCATTCTGAGCTGAGTAGCCAGTCACCTATCTGTGCAATCTAAAGGGCATAAGGGAAGAGGTTACCTTCCCCAAATCCCAGACACTGATTTTGGTAGCAGTTCACTCTTCCATGCTAAATATTTTTTTCCTCCCTTAGTGCTATACCTAAGAAGAGTGAGCATCTGTTTTATCAGATACCTTTCTGTGTGATTTTCTGTAGCTAAAAGTAGAAGACATACAAAAGAAATAGGGGAGTACATGAAAAAAGTTTATGTATTTATAAACAGTTTTTCACAGAAGAACGATAATTCTTCTCTGGACAACTAATAAGCATAATACTTCCTACTATTTTAGCTCTTATTTAAAAATATGTGTTCTATACCATGCACTGTGTTATGTCCTATATTCCATGCCATGCATTTTGTAGAGCTTCATTTCTTACAGTGTTACAAGAGAGATATTATTTCCTCCATTTTACAAAATGGAAACTCGGAGGTAATAAGTTGCTTGTTCGAGGCTACACAGCTAGTGAGTGACTAGGTAAATATTCAAACCTCCAAGCCTCTAGTGCTTTCCAAAGCCTGTTAGGACAATAAGCATAATCTTGGGTGGGAAATTTGCTCAGGGTGGCAGAAAGCATCTTAGGCTGCCATGCTCCTAGTGATCTTTACATTTATTTTTTAGATGTGTGTCCACTGCTTGGACTTTGTAGTTCATTTGGGTTTGCTACGTACTGTACTACACTAATTCTGTTGGGATGCTGGATCATTAAAAATTGATGATTTGCAAAGGACACATTAAAGCTGGAAGATGCTGTAGGGAGCTGCAACCACTGAAAAGTTGAGAATATTTTGCAGGTTCCTTTCTCCGAAAGCACGCAAAACACGCTCACACACACTGAGAGAATCACTATTTCTGTTGACCTTTTTCTTCTGATTTGAGAAGAAATGGAGGCACTGTATTACATCTCGGTCAATACTAAGTGCAAATTATCACCAATAAAAAACAGAGGCTTTGAAATGTGAAAAGGAACCAGTATAAAATCCAAAGAGTGGCCAAGGATAATGCAGACCTGCTGCAAAGGAATCCCCCCAAAATGGCCTTTTTGCTTACAACAGAACTTAGATTTCTCAGGTGGCCAAATAAGTACAAAATTATGCCTCTCTGCTAGAAAGAGTAATATAACTAAAGAGAAGACAGAGTTGCATGAGGTATTCAACTATAAAGCTCAAGTTCACCTACATTGGATGGTATAGTTGGTAATGGGCAAGAACATCCATGTTTTACTCTTTGCGTAATGCTAACTTGCTATGTGGCTTTTCTGTGCCTTACCAGAAAAAAACAAAAAACCCGTTGCCATAGAGTCAATTCCGACTCATAGCAACCCTACAGGACAGAGCAGAACTGCCCCCATAGGGTTTCCAAGGAGCAGCTGGTGGATTCAAACTGCCGACCTTTTAGTTAGCAGCCTGAACTCTTAACCACCGCACCACCAGGTCTCCTTCTGTGCCTTGGTAAACTTAAATATGTTATAGAGGCAAAAATAGCATCCAGCTCATGGCAACTCCATGCGCAATGGAACAAAGCCTGGTCCTGTGTCATCCCCATGATCGGTTGCCTATCAGACCATTGTGACCCATCGGGTTTTCATTTGCTGATTTTTGGCAGTAGATTGCCAGGCCTTTCTTCCTGGTCTGTCTTAGTCTGGAAGCTCCACTGAAACCTGTTTATAAGCATAGCAGCATGCAAGCCTCCACTTACGGACAGGTGGTGGCTGTACATGAGGTGCATTGGCCGGGAATCGAACCTGGGTCGCCTGAATGGAAGGTAAGAATTCTACCACTGGACCACCACTGCCCCACTATATCCAAACACATTATAGGCATTGATGACCATCACTAAATAGTCTGAAGCTCTGTGAAAAGGGTACTATAAAGGCAGATGGTATTAAGATACAAAGAGCAGTATCTAATGGGGATGAGAGGATTCTATCAGTTCATCAGTTC